ATTCATCTCAGTGGGTCTACTCTGAGTATGACATAGTTGAATACCACCCAATAAATCTTGCCACAAAACATATAGAAATGCAAACAAATGCACATGGAATTTGCACTGCTTCCCCTGAATATAGAAAGTATTTCTGCACAAACTGTTGTAAGTTTATAAGGGAGTCAGAGAGCTCGAACCAGAACCCCTATTCATACCCTGAGATCAAGTGTACATGGCACCGGGCACAGAAGAGAATGCAAATGTGCAGTATTGCATCCTGTAATGGGCAAACAGAATAAATATAAATTCTGATCTTTTGTGCTGACAACAACAGTACCTCTTCAAGCCCCTATTTTGGCTGCTGCCCCATTCCTCACCCCCATTCTTCACCTCCAGTAACCCTTGATTGCTGAATATACAGTTCAAGCCTAGATTTGAGTACAGATGTCCAGTGTCCTGCTTCAGTTGGTACACTGGCAGAGTAGCTAAGAGTTAGGAGGCGACCTAGAATCACAGATTTACAGCACTCCAAAGTCCAAACAGAAGGGCAGTAGAAGAAGCATGGTCAAGGAACAATTTGAAGCAGGGGCAATATGACTAATGAAGTTGAAACACAGGAGAGCTTGTGACCAACTAGGTGACACACCAGGAAGCTCATACAAATATGTTGTTCCAGCACTCTGTGCCTGGAACTGAAGACTCTTGAAGCTGAATCGTCAGAGCTCTACCTAGAACACAGCTGAGAGCCATCCGTGTTCCATCCTGATTTGGTTTACTCTTGAGCAGTACCTTATTCAAAAGTATTCCTTTACTCCGGAAGAGTCCTTGTTCTTTGGCAGCCAGCTGAGCCATTAGGATCCTGAGCTCCCTAGCACTCATTGCTTGCTCAGTGCAAAAGGTATGCTATCAAGCACGACAGAAGCACCAGCATCATAATCAGGAAAACTAACACAATATTCTGAATGCATCCATTATATACTCCTAGGTGAAATATAATAACAAAGCAGACTTCCGGGTTGGCGCCTCTGGCAATGGCGGATTTCCTCCGATCGGGAGGAATCCGCTCCGTGGAAAACAGGGTCTGAACCGACACGGCGAGGCGGAGACCCACCAAAAACCACAGGCGGGAGAAGCCTGTGGACGTGGGATTTGGCTGGCACCTTTGCGCCTCCCCTACTCACGGGGAAACCCTGTTTTGGGGATCCGGAGCGACGTGGGATGAGTGGCGCGGTGCTTTGAATCGACTGCTTCTTTCACGGAGTGAAGCTGCATTGCTGTTGCCGGAGAGTGCTGACTTTTTCCTGTGGACAATTGGACTTTAAACAACTACTCGTGAGTAAAACGGAAAATTGGATTCTTAAATACTTTAATTCGGCACTGAAACGGGAAGGTTATAAACAGGAAGTCCGCCTCCCATTTTTGTAAATAGACTGAAGCAAAGACGTTACAAGTTAAAGCCTTTGAAAGTTTTTGGCAAAGGATCAAATTTCCACCGGTTTGAAATACAAAACCCCCCTTGGAAGCAGGAGAAGAGGGGGAAGTTTTGGATCTAGTGAGCCTGCAGGAGAGAGTGAAAAAATCAAATTACCACTGCTCTGAACCTGGGAACGGGCTGCCAGATGAAGTTTGGAGAGAGTGCTTTGGACAGAACAGATTTGACAGCTAGCTAAATAAGAGTAAGATACTGTTTCCATTGTCCTTTTCTGCGCTTAAAAAAGAGGAAAAGTAACTGAAAATTTATCTTTAATGCTTGAGTTGCGCTTGAAAGATCTGATACAAGTGGATACTGTTTCCCTCTAGAGGGAGCTTTTGAAACTGTTATAGGAGTATAACTGGGGGATTTCCAGTTGCAGGAAAGGATTTTGAGAACCAGAGAGCGACCTTGGACTATTTAAAAATGTTGATAGGAGAGGCCATTGTGACTGTTTTATGCAAGATAAGCTGTTCGCTGGGACAGCTTCACAAGAAGATGGATGACATGACTTTCAAAGTTGATAATTTGGAACAGAAAGTGACCAACTTGAGTCAAAAGCGAACACCAACACAGAAATAATCAGGACTTGGTACAGGAACCCATTTTGGCAGGACAAATGGTGGAGGAGAAGGAGGAGAAGGAGAATGCTGCTGTTGTTGAACATAAAATAATACAAGTGAGATCTGTGGTTTTACAGAAGCAAATTGAGGACTATAAGTTGAGGCCTTCTATGATTGAATCTAGGAAAAGTCAGACTCCGAGGAATGGATCCCGGATTGGATTAAAGAAGGAAAGTTGGAAAGAGCCCTCTATGCAGGGATTAACTGACTTTTGGGACATGGACTCGGGCCTGGAGGAGATTGAAGTTTTGGGGACCTTTGGAATTGGAGGAATTTTGAAATATACCCGGAAATACTTTATGGACTGTAGCCTTAACTATGGAAATTTAGCTGATCTGTTCAGAAGGAAGAAAAGGATTGACAGGCTGGAGTTTCCCCGAGATTTGCTTTTTAGCATTAAAGAAAATGAAGAAGACCTGCAGAAGGGACTTGGAAAAGAGTTAAGAGCCTCGGACATAAGGTCACCAGGTTGATGGACTTTATGGAATTGACGGAAAGGACTGGCAGAATCCGAAACCTGGGAGAGGAGATGGTGGAAGAAGATTGGAAAATTTAAAGTTTATATATAGACTTATGGTAAAGCAAATGAGTGATAGAAAAATGGTGGAATGATTTCTTTTTATTTTTTATGGGCTTAACAGAATGTTATAAGGAGTTAAGCACATATAAGTATTTTAGTTTTAATGGAAAATAAGGTTAAAAAATACGTTATTTACAATATCACAGAAAATGGAGAAAGATGGAAAGGATTTGCTGAAACAACTAATAGAAGTGGAACACAAAAAGGGAGGTGTGAGGAGGTCGAGGAAACAAGGGAATGAAAGATAGAGTATGGAAAAGAGACGATGTATGTTTTTAAATTGTTTTTGTTTTGTTCTATTCAGGGTTAAGGTTAGGGAGTGGGGTTTGTTTAGTTTAGTTTAATGTGTTTAGTTTTGAGTTTAGGTTGTGTTTTGTATTGTTTATATATAGTATTGTATTTTTTTTTCTTTTTGTTTTTCTCCTTTGTTTTTTCTTCTGTTTATTTTTCTTTTTTGCTTTTTTCTCTCTTTTTGTAATCTATAAAAGTAATAAATATTATTTTTTTAAAAAGAAATATAATAACAAAGCAAAGGATGCAATGTGATATAACAATATCATATCACTAAAATATGCACATACAAATATAAATATGGATGAACACTTAAATATAGCATACATTCACACACAATTTCAATAGCGTTGGGAAAAATAGATAACAACAAAAATTATATATAATCATCATTTATGTATATGATAATGGGTTAACACACAAACACACTTATTTGAATGTAGGGGGAAATAGTGTGATTTTAAAGATGTGATAAATGGACAATATATAAATAAGTAAGTTATGTAAGTGCTTTATATATTGAATATGCAGAATTTCCTGTTCATATTAACAATATTTATTTATTTATTTATTTATTTATTTATTTACTTACTTAATTTGTATACCACCTGTCTCAGGGCAGTTCACAATGTAAAGGGCAGTTCACAACAATAACAACATATGCATATATTTTGTGCACTGATTTTATATAGCAATAATAATAATATTTTTTTAAAAAACTGGGGAAACTAATAAACACTGCTTTGAGTTGCTACCATTTTAATTTGTGTCCACTGTTTTATTTCTATTTCTCTTTTTTCAATTAGGATCTTGGACTCTTAAAACTAGGCCCTTTTCTGATTTGTAGCCTTAAAATCTCTCATCTGTCTTGGTGATGGCTAATTATTGATTATTCTTTAATTAAGCAGATAATTGTGGAAGATAGCTGAGAAATGCAGACAGAAATTTTGGTGGATGCCTGGAGTCCCTCTCCTTATGGACATTTATTTCGCAGGTCTTGGATTCAGGCTGCATCTCCAGCAAGGGAGCTTTCTCCTTCAGTTTAATTTCCCCAAAATGTGGCACTTCTTTTTGATGACTGGTGTTTCTGAAAACAATTGGCTCGCCTCACATGTACTAATAATATGAGAGGGTTATTGAAAGTTCTCTGTCTTGGGGGAAGGTCAGCTGTGGGAAAGCTTTTCCTGTCTGACTCCTTTTATAAGAAGACAGAAAACATACTAGCCTGCCTTCTGTCTCTCAATCAATATATACCCCCATAGTTTTAGCAGATTTCCTGCAAGCTGTTCACTATGTATTGTGTGTTAACTTACAATAGAGATTGACATAATAGGTTTTTACGGCAAGCCTACACAGATTCAGAAGAATGGTTTCCTGTAAGATTGATTGTCCTACATTGGAATTAGGAAAAGGGGTAAAAGCACTGTGATACTGGTTAGCATACAATGGTTAGGTAGTTCGTAAAAGGGCATATTATGAAGTTTCAAAGAGCTTATCATACATGTGAATGTTTAATAGGCCACATACGAATGTTTAATAGGCCAAATGCTCCATGGGTTTTAACCAATGCTGCATAAGAGAATTCCACCCATAATGCAATACTTCCTCTTCTGCACCTTTCCCCGCACGCCCCCAGAATCTGCTCCAGAGGGTCCCCCAACTCCTTGGTACAGATTTTGAAGGTGCACAGGGGGCTAAAAGTTCCATTGCACAAACAGAAGCCTGTTGTTGTGTGCAGAGCATTGACTACACCAATAACAGTGGGAAGTGTTGTTGTCTATTGAACCAGAGACTTTGGCAGCCACACCCAAGCATCATAGCTTTAGCCACTGGACTGCTCTCTTCTCTGATTGGATGTGACCAGGTCTAGTACATTTCTGAAAAGTGTCAGCTGGCCCAATGAAGCACAGGTTGGCAAGTTGTGGCCTTCCGCCCAAATCTTTATGGCCCTCAACCTCATCCCCAAATACTTCAAGCAGTCAGTCTGGACCTCTGTCCAGTGTGTCCCTTCCCCTGGCAGCCTGAGATGGAGGAGAGAAAGGGGTGTCCTGCCTAGAAATACCAGGGATTGTTCCTGGGACCTTTCTGCATGCGAAGCAGATGCTCTACCACTGACCTACATCCCTTCTTAATCAAGTAATTCATGTTTACTGCAAAGACCAAGAAACTATCAGACTGCCTGTGCTGTTTGCAACCTTCAGGTGATCAACTCTCAGTCTGCATAACTGCCTTTACATTGGCCCATGTAGCTTTACCTAGTCCTGCCTGTCATGGCTTTGCCTCCAAATCAGTCAAATAACTTTTTTTTAGCAGCTAACAAGTCAAAGGGGCTACATATTGGAAGCTACTTTTTTTACCCTGGTGGCATAGATACCAACTCCACAGGGCTGAGGTGTCTTCAGCCCCCCCCCCAGTTTTTTGAGATGGGTTTTGCCCCCCCAATCTTTAGGGGCTGGCCTTCCTGGCAGGGGTGGCCCTCACAAGACCTTGCTGTGTCAGTGGGCCTCACCAGGCCTCATGGCAGCGGTGGGCATCACCAGGCCTCATAGCATGTGTCAGCTGTCCAGCTGTTCTGCCATGGGGTGGCCTGGTGCCTACCCAACATATCTTTAAGGTGAGCAGCTGGGGAGAACCCTAGACCAGTAAGCAAAATGGCTTGTTGCTTGAATCCATGGTGGTAGACAGCAGGAGAGGTAACCTGACGTTTGGGACTTGCACTAAACGGTGGTTAGCTTCTTGCTAACATGTTTGTACTCACTGCAGTTCTTCTAAATTAATGAAGCAGTTGCCCATTTACCCCACAAAGCCTCTCTTCCCTTCATTTCTGTTTAGGATGTTTGTGTGTGCGTACATGTGCCGTGCCAGAAATTAATTAAGACCTTGTGCATGCCTCAACTATGATACCACGCCTAAGAAATAGAATGGATAGAGGACATTAGACTTCACATTTTCCTTTGGCAAAACTACCTCTTTTTTTGGCTATGCAAGCATAGAACGGCTACAATTATGTAACTGTGGTATCATTACTAGAGAAAACGCAAAATAGTGTTATTCGCACTAGGCACTTTCCATTCACTTTTATTGCACAGCCCTTGACATTCTAACAAAAAGGTACCCTTTTTAAAATTCACAGAAGAAGCCTTGGAGGTTTTAATCTGTTCTCAGTTGAACTTAACAGGTATCAAGCATTTTAGAAGCGTCTTGAAAACAACACTGGTTGTCTATAAATGTGTGGTTTGCTAGAAAAGAAAACCCACACAACACACACCACCCAATAGGAGTAGCAGAGAGCAATTAGCAAAGAATCTAATCAGAAACACTGCTTTAGTGCCAATCGTTAAGAAAAGCGTTAACTGTCAAACTATTGTTCTCTTCTCTTTTTATGAAGACCTCATTGATGTGCAAGCTTGAATGCCATAGAAAGAGGAACGCTTTATATTCGGATTAATTGCTGACCTCTATTGCACCAAATGAAGATTACCTGCTGCTTTCCGTAGCCCGTCTTCATTATTAGATACAAAGGCAACACAATTTTGAGGACAGGAACAGAAATTTGATGATGCCATCTTATTTATTTTGCATACTCTTTGTAACACCAAGTCAAGAGCACATCAATAAATGAAAAGGCTGTGATCCTATAACACTCACTGAATCATAGAATGGGAAGGTCACCTATTCCAGGGGCTAGGAAGCTGTGGCCCTTCAGATGCTGCAGCATTTCTTTCTGCCCCAACCTGCATAGCCAATACTCTGGGAGGATGGGAATTATAGTTTTGCACTAACAAAGTTTTACCCAGAGTAGACCTACTGAAATTCATTAAACATGCCCATTTATTCCAGTGGGTCTACTCTTAGTTGGATTAACATGGGATACAGCCTGTATAATATAGCAACATCTAGTGGGTCATAGGTTCCACACCCCTCCAGATGTTAGAGAATGTCAGGGGAATGGGATGGCCATGGATCCTTTCCATCCTTTTTCATGAGATCAGATCTCCTTCTTCAAGGGTGTGTGTGTGTGTGTTTCCACCAATGGAGCTAAAGTTCCCAAACATCTTATGACCCCCTGGGATACCCTTGCAGACACAATATAATTGCAGCCCAACCACTCCCTCGCCCTCCATATTTCACAATTTCATTATTCTGAAACTGTGCAGTTTCACACCTTTGCAACGGCAGAGTTGTTATGTTATGCTTTAAAACCAATGAATTATGTTTATCTTCTCCCCCCTTGCTTTCCCATTTTTAAAAACAGCTTCTATAGGAGTGCAAATTGTGTGTGTGCTTTTTTTAAAAATGCTTTTGTGAAGGAGCAAAAACAGCAACATGACACTCTTTGCATTTCATGGTCATGGTCATTTGTTTGCCAGAGTTTGCATCTCCCATTTCCCTTCCTTTTTAGTAAGCATAGCCAACAGGGAATAGCACTCCATGCATCTGATGAAGTGGACCTTCATGCACAAAAGTTTATACTATCATAAATCTGTTAGTTTTTAAGATGCCGCAAGACTTTGTGGTTATAACAATCCCTAGTTAAAGTTTGATAGGGCATAATTTAATGGATATTGCTGTTTATTCTATTGCTTCTCTGTCAAGTTGAGCAAATTTACCCATGAAATGATACCACCATGTAAATAGATTAGCCTCTTGTGTAACATTGCTACGTTGAAAACTGCAAGAAACACCAGAATGAAGAGGTCATGGTTGCTGCGGGAACATGGGCACTTATGGGATACCCATGGTGAAATGTTACTATGCTTGCCGACTGATCTCTGCCAACAATCATGTCTTAGAATTTATAAAAACCCATCTGGGAACATCTGTGGGTGGTTAATGGAAACATAATCATAACAAACATTATTGCCTAACCCTGCTGTTTAAGTAACTCTGTGCGATGGAAAGCACAGAATTATTTACCCTTATGACTGTGGCATTCCATGTAGGATCTTCTTTTGATTATAAATTACCATAACTTTTATATTAAATTAATTGATGAATACATTTTGGATGCTAATATATGAATATCCCTTTGGAATGTACATACTGTTTTTGTGTATATGCATGTGCGCATGTGCACATCAGTGGAGATGCAGAGTAACAAATTTAACCAGAGATGTTTTATCTCTTTTTCGTTTTTCATCATTTGGTGGGTAGGAAACAAAATGAAACCCTCCCAAGAAATCATGTATGAAAAAAGGAAGAAATGCCCCGGAATTTTTAGGAGTGGGTTGTGTCTTACTTTATTTAGCCTTAAACACAAACAAGAGTTTTCCATTGATTTCCAGCTTTTTCACCTTAACACCCCCCCCCCCCGCATACTGGTCCACAGTCCTGCAAAGTCACATCAATCCCAATGAATTTTGCAAAGTATGGTTGGCATTCTCCACAACTTCCTAACAGCCACAGTTCCCAGCAGTGCCCAGTAAGTTAAGTAGCATCTCTCCCCAACTTTTTAAAAACAAATTCTCCCTTCCCAAAGAAAGTTTTGGTAAACCTTGCCTTAAATTTAGGTTGAATATTCCAAGTGAAAGGAAGCAAAAGATTCTGACTGTAGCATCACACCCCAAAAGCCACTATCTCCCAACTCAATTAAGACCTCTTTCACACAGTTTGCTTCAGCTGTTCTCTTCTATTTCCTTCTTCCCAAACCATCAGTGAAGCCACCAGTTCTCCTATGCTTACTACCATTACAGTTAAGGGCTCTGATACATGCCACTCCTCTTCTTATGGCGGAGCCTGCTGAACCATGATTTTCAACTGCCATCAGCCTCATCCAGCATGGCCAATGGTCAAGGGTAATAGGAGCTGTAGTTCAGCAACAGCTTTCCCATCCCTGATCTAGGAGATTTCTAAAATTAATACCTGAAGAGGAGCATGCTTGATTTATGGAAGCTTTCTGTTCATGTTTTATTTTCTCTTTCTCCACATTACCCATGTGCAGGTGCACAATGATAAAACGTGGAGGGGGGATATAGTTAGAAATATAGAAGGTTGAGGAAGGCAAAATCAGACTGAATGAATTGAAAGGAGCTAACTGTGCATGCATAGCATGTTTTACAAGATTCAAACATTAAAAACAAAACAGTAGAGGGTGCCTAATGTATTATGTTTTCTTTTCAAACAAGATCAGGTAATTCTGAACTCAAGATCTGGAGCAGATAAATACAATTTTAGAAGCACCCCTAAAGTGATGTCATTTATTCATAGCATCCAATTTTGCACCATAGATTTGTCATTTTTTTATTGTAGCTCCAACAATTTTCTCTACGGAAAAAGTGCTTTTTATTCGTGATGAAATACAGGGACTTCGGCTCTTTATAATGGGTTCCTGGTAGCTCTTGCAATATCAATGAATCAAACGAATGATACTAAGTGTTGCATTAACATAGTAATGGCCGGCAGGATTATGGCTTACATGATACATTAATGTTGGACTGGCCAGCATGAACAGTACTCTGATAATATATTAAGACTACACCATCTGGCAACGGCCCATATAAGAGTTTCAATCACAGCCGAGTTAATCATAGCATTCTTCACAGATGAGCATTACTTGGCGGTTTTATGTATGCTACATAAGCAAAAGGTTCTCTTTACTTGTCAGGGCCATGATGAGTGATTGAAATGTGATTGATATGGAAACCCATGAGAGCTACATCCAGGAAACTTCAACAGCAAAAACAAAATACATGAGTGATATGCTTGGAGATTGCTTTCACATGATTAACAACACAGGACTGGGGCAGGGAGGACCAAAGGTCATAATATCTATCAGTTTTTCATAAGCACTTCCCCCTATCTATTTTAGCTGTTTTAAATATTGTAGGACTTCCTTACCACAGCACTATTATACAAGGCAACTTACTAATAATTAATGCATAAACAAATAACATTCTACAGAGAGCCATAAACCCCTCCTTTCAATTAAGTAAGAAAAAAAGTTCCATTGGGGATGTCATCCAACTGTTGTTGCATTTATATACCCTAGGCTTCCTCAACCTTGGCCCTCCCAATGTTTTGAGACTACAATTCCCATCATCCCTGACCACTGGTCCTGCTAGCTAGGGATCATGGGAGTTTTAGGCCAAAAAACATTTGGAGGGCCGAGGCTGAGGAAGCCTGAATT